TTAGACACCTTCCCTTCTGCTGTGCCTCCCCAGTGCTGAAAACCCAAGTTTAGAGGCGAGGATTTAAGGAGTGTAACTTTCCCGCCTTCAAGTTCCCACCACCATCAGCTGGAGTAGCACATTTTTTCATGCCACGGCTGTGTGGATTCATCTTTTTCCCACCTTTTCCCCAGCTCAGGGCCCTTGCCTGCTCTGCCACTGATTTTAACAAGCAGCACCCACGGAGTGAAACTGCTCAGCTGCAGGAAGAGGAAGCGAGGTGAAACCTGCAGCAGAGCTGGAGTGATTAATGGGGCACTGCTCTCAGAACAGCTTGGTTTGTGATATTAATAACGAGACAATTCAGGAGGGAACCCAACCTGTTCCAGGCTGTGGAGCCAGCAGCAGCAGGAGATGCAGGGGGGAAGCTCCTGTGCTGGTATTTGCAAAACAGGAGGAATTGAGTGGGCTCAGAGGGTGTGCGGGGGTTTGGGATGTGCTTCCACCTTGGAGGATTCATTCTTAACCTGAAATGCAAAACAAAACCCCATGTAGTGGTAAATGCATCATGATGTAATCATGAAGCACATACATATTCATCAAAAATTACTTAAGCTTGAGACTGGTGAATTAAACAGGGGAAAAAAATGTTTATCCCACAAGGGAAGAAGACGGGGAAAAGAAAAATTTAGTGAGAATGAATTTGCTTACAGGGTAAGAATAATTATATGTGATGTTTCACATTTTCTTCCTAAGCATTCACGTCTGGTGATGGTGAGAGATGGGACACAGGCCTGGCAGACACCTGGCACCACTTCACAGTGAGCACTGGGGAAGGAAAGCAGGAACCTGAAACCTTACCAATAACAGAACACTGACAGTTCAGAAAGTCAAAAACATTTGGGGCACGACAGCTGCAGAAAGCAGAGGGGAGCTGCCCATGCTGCTGAGATTGAAGGGGATTTGCCACCAATGGAATTCTGTCCATCCCATAGCACACCTGTGCAGCTGGAGTGAGGAGGGAGCACATCCTCTCCTCTGAGCCACTGGTCCAGCACAGCCCTGGAGGAGCAGCTGAGCCTGCAGCATCCTTGGGGACACTCTGCTGTCAACACAGGTTTCTCCAACAAATCTCTTGTGCCAAGTCCTGAGGGGAAAAAAAAAATCCTTCCAGTGCTGGGAAAAAGGAAGGGCAGAAGAAGAGCATCCAGATGAAGCTGCCCTGGGGTCATTTATCAAAGCAGGCTGTGCCTGGGTGGTTTGGGAGCATTCCCACATGCCAGGCTGCAGCTGGTGTCTGGCACCAGAACCTGCTGTTTCTGGGAAGCTCCCAGGGGACATTCCAGGTATTCCAGGAATGGTCTCAGGAAGGAGGAGCAGCCTGGGCAGCAGAACACCTGCAGTGCTGGTCAAACCCTCTGGGGGGAAGGAAAATGCTTCCCTCAGGAGTGAGAGCCTGCAGACCTGGGCAGGGTCACTGTGGTGCAAGCACAGGTGATTTCCTCTGCCAGGTGAGCTCAGGTCCTGAGGTCAGGGCTCAAGTGCTGACTTTTGGCATTTCTTGCCTTAAACTCTATGGCTGAGAGACTGAAATCCCTTTTTCCAGTGTCCACAGCAAGTTCTACCTGGAGAATATCCAGCTTCTCCACATCAGGGAGTTGTTCCTGGCTGGAAGGGGTGGTTGCTTCAGTTTGAATTTATTTCGGCTCTCTCTACAGCTGCCTCTGCAATGCATGGGCATGCTTTGCCATGCAGAACCTGCATTTTGCACAGCAGATCCTTTCAGGAGTGTGGAGTTCCAGACTTCCTGGATATACAAAGCATTCCTACATCATCTGACCTCTTATGGCCTCAGCAGACAGAGTGGTGGCACAGTTTAGAGAGGCGTGGAGACAACAGCTAATTAAAGTTTGGAAGCCAAACTGGATTTGTTTTGAGCTCTTGGACTCCTCAGATTACTTCAGGTGTGAGCCAGGTCTGGCATTAGATGAGCAGATGGGTTTTATGACTCCTTGGATGCAGAGAGGCAGATTAAGGGAGGGAAGCTTTGCAAAAACAGGAGCAGGACTTGTGCCTGGCTCCAGTGAATCCTCTGTGGAATCTGCGGGCAGAGTGGGCACCCCCTGAAGTAAGGGATGGTGGAAGTGCAAAAACACACCCAGAACCCCACCCAGGAATAGTTGGGGACCATCTAGGGGGGACAGAACTCAGCTGGTAGAATTCCTGTGGTGGATTATCACTAAATTTTTAGTTCAGTGCCAGCTTTTAATTGTGGAAAATGAGCTGTATCTCTCCGATACACTGCAGAGAAACTCCAGCCTGAGAAAGGGAGACAAAAACGATTATCTAGCTATTGAATAAAATTCTGTACCCTCGATTTACACCCCGATTGCTGCTGGGAAGCTCCCATTGTGGGATTATGGGACGGACCTGGGCACGTCCTTGCTGGGATCTGCAAGGATTCCCCTGCCCTGCTGGGAGCAGGCACCGGCACCAGCCGGAGCCGCATCCCCGCAGCAAACGAGGTCGTTTGGGGACACTCGGAAAACTTCTGGAAATCTGGGTGAAAAAGGCAGCGTCTCCAAATAAGGTGAGGATGAGGAATCCCATCGGAGCGGGCTCCCGGCTCTCCAGCGGGCGTGCAGGGACCTCTGGTGGCAGCCGAGCCCGAGAGTTCCCGTCCCTGCTCTTCCCTCCGGGTTCTTTTGGGACAAGCCTGGCCCCCGAGCCTGCGGCGTGTGGTTTGGATTTTTTGGCCTGATCTGGTGTCAGGGGACTTGTTTGTAACTGGGTTTGGACGTCTGCAGCTCCAAAACCGCCCCCGGTTAATGCCATTGCTGCAGAGGAAGGAAAAAGGCTGGAATCGGGGTTGTAAGAAACTCAATGGGAAATAAATTAAATAAAATCTGGGCTAAAACGACCCAAAAAGTAGTTTATATGTAACTGTTGGTAGTGCTCTAGCAATTGGGATCAAAGTCCTTGAACCAGAGGCTCAATTAATCTCGGCTTAAATTCCTGCCATGCAGAAGTGGAAGGTAAAAGCTCTCCAGCCTCCAGAAACATTTTAACTATTCCTGTGCCCGAATCCTGAACGTTCATCTTTAGGACAAACACAAATGGAGGAGCTCCTGAGGAAACAGGGCTGGAGCTGCAGGCATTCCACAGCCTGGGATTTTCCCTGCAGGAAAGTGAAGGCAGGAGTTGCCACCAGGGAAAAGGGCAGGCAAGATATTTTTTGAGGCTAAACCACCACAGATGACTTCTCATTCGGAAACCGGCTCTGTGCAATTTTATCCTCAATTAATTGTTAAATGATTTTTCTCCTCAGTGCCCCAAGCAGCCCAGCACGTCTCCAAGGCATGTCTCTCTTTTCCTCAGCACATCTTCTGCTGAACAAAAATGTCTTTGCATTTGGTCTTCTCAGTAACAGATTAGCCTGTGTGATCCTTCCACTGCTAATACACGAGATTATTTAAAATCCCCTGAGCACTCAGGGCTGCCTATTACTTCAGGCACTGTCTCCCTGCCACGTAACTGTTATGAAAGTACAGTGCCTTGCCTGGCTTTTAAGCAAATTTGTGCAGCATGAATAGATGCTTTTTTACCAGTTGGGACTATCACAGAAACACAGAATCGTTTAGGTTGGAAAAGAACCTCACCCATCTCCCAGTTTGATTTAATCACTCAGCCTCCCTTCCATCAGTGTGTATTTGATGTTTTTGTGTGTCCATCACCCCAAAGCCAGGACAGCAACTAAGAGCTGTCTCCTCACTCTTGTGTTTCAGCGAAGAGGAAGTGGAAGATTTCATCCAAAATTAATACCTCAAAGCAGAGGTGGAGTTTGACATTAATCGGTGTGTACACGGTGACTCAGCCCGGCGGCAGGAGGGGAAGCGAGGGCTGCTTCTGCTGGAGACATCAAAAAGCAACAAGGGAGCGATCAAATTACGGGAAGCTGGAAAAGCAGCGTAGTTGTAGGGTAGAACTAAAACTGTGGCTACGGGATTGTGAATTTCCACAACCTCCAGACAGCAGAGCTGGGGTATCCCAGACTTCGGGGAGCTTTTCTCGGGATCAGACATGGGATATGGGAATAAGGGATAACAGTGCTGTGGGCAGAGCGTTTTTAGGCAAAGCAATCAGTTCTTTTTCCGCGCTTGATGTGCGATCAGCCCCGGTGGTGTGGTGTGATCTGGGGTATCCTGAGCCGCGGTGAGCGGCGCTTGGAGAGTTCCTGCCCAAGGAAACAACGACGGGAGTCACCTGCCGGGGATGCTTTGGGGTGAGGGACCCCCGGCCGCAGCACCTCAAGGGAGAAGCACCAGGCGGAGGAGGAACCTCCGGGGAACGAGGGAAGTGTCCCAGTTCCCGCACGGGGACCGGACACGCGTTCCCCGCTCCGTGCCACGCTCAGCCGGCTCCGGGCTGGCGCCGCTTGTGCCGTGCGGTGCCAGGGAAGGCGGGAACATCCCCGGGGGCTCCGTTCCCGTTATCCCGCTCCCGGTGTCCCGCTCCCCGACAGGGCGGCCCCTGGCGCTTTCCCTCCCCTCGGGGGTGATGCGGGCAGGGCAGGGCCGGGCAGGGCGGTGCCGGCGGGCGGTGCCGGTGCCCAGGGCGGGCCCCGGGGCTGGGCGAGGCGGAGCCCGGCGGGCAGCGGGGCCGGTCCCATGGGAGCCCGGCGGGCCGGTGGATGCCCATGGCTTTCAGCCCGGGGCTGCTGGTGGTGGCCGGTTCCTTCGCCGCTTTCCGCCTGCTGAACCGGGGGCTGGAGCGGCTCGTGCCGCCGCCGCCCTCGGCCCGGCGCAACCGCTGGAAGTGGCGCAACATCTGGACATCGCTGGCGCACAGCGTGCTCAGCGGCGGCGGGGCGCTGGCCGGGTGAGCGGCACCGCGGGGACACCGGGGGAACCGGGACACCGGGAGGGAACGGGGACGTCGAGGCATCCCCCGAGGGGAGCCTGCGGCCAAGGGGGTGCGAAAGGAAATTGGGGTGTTGGGGATTCTGGGGAGTGTCAGGACCTGCAGAATGGGGACGCTGAGAGAGGGAGGAAGGTGCGAGGCACCAGGGGATGGGGAGACTCCAGGAGGAGAGGGGAGCAGGGCAACAGGAGGTCTCCAAGGAGGGTCGGCAGCACCAGGTGGGTAATGAAGACACCGGCAGGGAAATGGGGACCTGGAGGCACTGCCCGACACTCACAGCCCCTCTCCCCGCAGGTTCTACCTCCACCCCGAGATGTCCAACGACCTGGTGGGCACACACCCGCCCGGGGCGCACAGCCTGGTGGCCGTGTCTGTAGGTGAGGTGTGGCCATGGACTGTCCCTTGTTCCGTCCCCCCGGGGGTCTTCACGGGCTCGTCCGTGCCTGACACCAGCCCCCCGAGCCATGTCGCGATGTCTCAGGCACCTCAAACAATCGCGCTATTCTTGGCAAAGGACAGTGGCTCCTTTCTGTCCCACGGCAGCCGCAGCCAGGAGCTACTGGGCACCGGGCTGCCCTGCACCGGCCCCGGGGGGAGCCGGGGCTCAGGGCACCCCAAAAGTGCCCGCATGGGGTTGGAGGAATCGGTTGGTGCCTCCTCCTGGGAGCACAACCTACAGAGTGATTGCTAGAGGGACCCAAAGCACCGATTTCCTCCTTTTGCTGTGGGTGACTCCCCACCCACACAGATGTAACCAGCAGGTCCCAGGGGAGGCTGCCCAGCCCACTGGGGTAAGGGGGATTTGTTGGCACAGCCCTTCCTGACCCCCTTTTTGTTCATGCACTCCCCAATCCCAGGCTATTTCATTGAAGACTTTGTGGACATGTTGTGCAATCAGAAACTTCATCAGTCCTGGGAGCTGCTCTTTCATCACTCTGTGGTGAGTGTACCTGCATGGGTACCACCAGGGAGGCTGGGCATAGGGGCTCCTGATGTTGTTTTGTGTTGTTTGCTGCCTGCTCCAAAGTCTGATTTTATTTCCTGGGGAGAGGAGCCCAGACAGCAGGGCCTGGAGCTCTTCTTGGTCCTGCAGAACTCTTAGAGGGTTTGCAGAAAGGCATTCAAAAATGGGGTGTTATCAGTGATGATGAGAGAGATGGGGAGACTGAATGCTGGTCAGAATCCAAATTTATTGTGGACTACATATGCTTATACACCATTCTAGGCAGGCTAGTAAGTTTTTATTACAATGATTGGGTTAATCATCACATAAACAAACTTATACATTTTACAACATTTCTTGCTTACAGAACTTGATGTAATTTTCTTTTCAGTCTGATTTAATTTTCAGCTCTGTTTGTTCTTGCCAAGGCATCCTGATTATCAAACATCTTATGCTAATCACGTCCAAAGTCCATCACCTGTCTTGTGTGTCCCAATAGAGTAGGAAACAACATGTGTACAGAGTATGGGCTGATCCACAACAGTGTCACTGACAGCAGTGACGCCGGTGTCCCCTCTGGCACAGTGGGCAGCTCATCTCCCGTGGCTCTTGCCCTCTTGAGCAAGGACTGCACATCCCAACATCCACCTCCCTCCCCAGGGTGCTTTCCTGGTGTGGCTGGAGCAGCTGGGATGCAGGACCCCCACTCCAGTGCCCCCTGCCTGTCTTGCTGTGCCCTCTGTGGGTTTCTCTCTGTCCAGGTGCCAGAGTGTTTTCCCCAACCCAAACAATTCTGTGATGCTGAGACTGTGGATGCTGCAGGGCAGCAGGGTGGCACAGCCTGGAGCTGGGCAGTGGAGATGCTGCAGGGTGCAGGGGAGGCTCAGGGCTGTGCAGGGCCTGGGGAGGGGGGACAGGGACAGGGACAGTGCTGGCACTCACCTGGGATGAGAGGGGCAGTCAGACCTGCTCTGTCAGTGAGCCCTGGGGCTCTGCTGGCTGCTGCTGGTGAGCCAAAAGTTCATCTCCACAATGGAGCTAATTCAAGCCAAGACAGTGACTTAACGAGCGGAGAGCAGATAATCTCATTACAGAGCCCATACAGAGAACAGCATTAACGGCATGAACCAAAGAAAAGACTGAGTGTGCTGAAGCGTGGGCAGGCAGAGCCTGTCCCCCTGCCTGGCAGGGAGGGTGCGGGGCAGGAATCCTGTCCCAAACAGCCCCAGAGTGCTTCAGGGGGCTCTCTGACACACCAAAGCCACCTAATCCCTGTCCTGGGGACAATCCCTGAGCCAGCAGCAGCCGTAGCCCTGGGTTACACTCTCCCTTCCTGTCCATTCACTGGGTGTGGAAAAACCTGCTTGGCCACAACTGGCTGCATTCTCCAGGCCACAACAGCAGGGTTAGGTCAGGCTGCTTTGTCTCCTCAGCCAGCCTGGGGCTCAGCTGTTTCCTTCTCTTCCCACTGGAACAAAAAAACTACTCAGGTTTCCTTCCATGGTGAGGAGGGACACTCAGTGACAGCCCAAACCCCCTCTGGTTTGAGTGCAGGACAGCCAGAGCCCGGGCCCTCTGCTCAGCAGGTGAGATCCTGCAGTGCTGGTTTTGTGTTGAACACCCATACCTGTCCTTTGGCACCTCACATGCGAATTTTAACTTAAATACAATGTTTTACATTTCCTGACCTCACAGGTTTGGTGCTTCTGCTCAGGGCTCTGAAAGAGCCACATTTTACCCAGGAAAGAGCCACAATTTACCCAGGAAAAAGCTGCAGGGATAGCACTGCTGTGATGATCCTTCCCTCCTCTGCTCCACGCTGTGCCCAAGGGGTTCCAGCTTGCAGCAGCTGAGAGCAACCACCCCTTGGGCTCAGCCCCTCTTCTCCCTCCTTCCCAGGTGATCATCTGCTTTGGAATCGCCGTGCTGCTCCACCAGTACGTGGGCTTTGCCCTCGTGGCTTTACTGGTGGAGATCAACTCCATCTTCCTGCACGTGCGGCAGATCCTGCTCATGGCCAACCTGGTGCACACGCCCTGCTACCGCCTCAACAGCCTGGTCAACCTGGGCACCTACGTGGTGTTCCGCATGGCCACGCTGGCCTGGATGAGCCGCTGGCTCTTCCTCAACCGCCACAACGTGCCCGCGGCCGCCTACGCCGTGGGCACGGCGGGCATGGCAATCATGACACCCATGAACATCGTCCTCTTCTACCGCCTGCTGCGCAGCGACTTCCTCAAAGCCCGGCGGGACAAGGAGGAACGGCAGGAGAAGGAGGAATGGCAGGACAAGGAGGAATAGCCCCTCCCCTGCGAGCCCATGGAGCACTGGAGGGTGAACATGGCCGTTTCAGCACCTTACAGGAAGGGGCTGCACTAACAGAGCATTCAGGCTTTGCTCGTGGCCCTGCACAGCAAGGAGGTGCTCATGGATCAGGCTCTGCTCCCCACTTTTGGATGATGTGGTTGGACAGCTGGGAGCTGCTCAAAGAAGCTCCCTGAGGCACCACTGAGATGAGAAGGGGGCAGAGCAGCAGTGCTGTTCCCCCACTGCTCTTCCAGACATCCCAACACCACAGGGTGTTCCCAGCCCCCAGTGCCCCATCAGCCACGGATCACTGAGCTCTCTGTGGCTTCTCTGTAGAACAGCACCAGCAGGACAGGCTCCAAGGCTTTGCCTTCGAGGTGACGGTCAGTAAAAACCAAGCCCTGCACTGATGAGCCCTCCCTGAGGAGATTGTCCCACCTGGCTGGGTGGTCACTGTGGGGTGCAGGTCACGATCAGCCCCAACCTCTGCTGACAATGGAGCTTTTCCCATGTTTTGTCCCTAGATAATTTAAGTGCCCATAAATGAGGGTGGTAGAGCACGAGTGGCTGGCAGGAGGATGCTGTGTGGTGGTCACTTCCCACAGATGTGGGGTTTTCAGGCACTTTTTAGGATTCAGGAATGCCGGTTGTGCTGCAGAGCCTGGGGTAACGCTCTCACCCGGCAGCAAAGGCTCCTACTAACACGAGCTTTTAATCAATGGCTGCAAATGAAGTGGCTTGAGGGGAAGGGACTGAGAGGGGACAAAAGGACTCATCCCCCAGCCCTCTTTGGGGCTGTCACTTAGCACAGTCCTTACCCCGTGTCTCCCTGCCATGGAGTGAAAATACACTGCACACTGGCACACACTACCTCTCTTGTTGGGTTTTTTTTCCCCCACCTCTCTCATTTCTGTGGAGGAAGATGAAGGTTTTTAAATGTTTTTCCACTCCACATTTCCTTTTCCCTACTGATTCTCACACTGGCCTGCTCCCCAGCAGCCCAGCACTGTGTACATAACAGGATCATCCCATGTGGAGTTACGTGAACCAGTCTGGAGAAATCCACCGGCTCAATCACGTTTCCTTTGTGTTGCAAATGAGCTTTAACACAAAATCTCTGCCTTGGTTTGAGGAGCAGGCACTGCTCACAGAGGGTGGCACGTGTTCTGAGATGGAGACACATTCCTGCTGGGCAGGGAAACATGAGTGATCCATGGGCAGTGTGAGGCTGGAGACAATGTGTGCCCAAAGCTGCTTATATTTCTATTTGTGGAGAGCAGGGAAGCTTCCAGGTGCTGGGCACAACTCCTCCAGGTTTGGATGTGTCACCTCAGGCGGTGCTGAGGTGCCTGAGTGCCCCTCACAGCTCCCAGATGGAGCAGAACTCTCACCAAGGGCTTTCTCTTTGGTTTGACCCACATATTCCGAATTTTCCAGGAGCTGCTGCAGTGATCCTTGCCCTTAGCACAGCTGAAAACGCTGCCTCTGCCCACAGCCGGGGTGTTTCTCAAGGCCTGGATTGTGTTCCCACATTCCTGCTGTCACATGGATGTCCTGTACCCCGGGCACGTGGGGCTGGGCGCTGGGGGAGCCTGGTTTGGGCTCCTCTTAATCCGCCGTGGTTTTCCCACAGGGCTAAGGTGGGATAAGCAGTGGCTTTGCGGGTCACCGAGGTCAGACATGGGGATGCCCTGTGCTTGTCCATCCCCACGGGAAGTGCCACAGCCTTGGCTGGAAAGGTTTTGGGAAGGACTCACCTCTCTATTCCCACCATATAGGGGACCATGGATCTGGAAGGAGCATCTCCATCAGGGAACCAGTCCTGCTCCAACCCCATCCAATATCCCTCCAGAACAAACCCCTCTCCCCATGGAAAGCCCTGAGGCAAGAGCCTGCCCTGAGACCTGACAACATATTAAACGCACCCACAGTGAGCTGCCCTCACATTTCTCAGCTGCTGGGCAAGCACTGAGGGCTGGAGGGCACTGTGCTCCTGGAGAGAGGCAGCAAGGGGGCAGTGAGGTGGGTGGCTGCTTGCTGGGGGATCAGGGACCACAGTGTGGCCATGGGGGCAGTACTGAGGGTGAGGCACCACTGGGGCACAGCATCCCCTGCCTGCCTGGGCCGCGGGGGCTGGCTGACATGGGCTCAGCCGCACTGAGGGGATGTCCCGGCCCCGTGGGGGAGGTTCCAGCGGGGACATCACCGGGATTGTCCGGGATACCCAAAATGTCTCCCTGAGGGCTCCCCCCGCCCCTACCACCCGTCGGGAAGGGGGGTTGGCCCGTGGCGCCCCCTACAGCAGCGAGCAGTGGGCTGCGCCAAGCGCTGTCCAATCAGAAGTGGAGCCGCGCTGTCACCGCCGCCCCTCTCCGCCAATGGGAAACAGCGAAGGGCGGGACCGGGGAAAGCGGGGCAGCACACCGGAAGTGTGCTCCAGACACAACTTCCTCCCCTCTTCCGCCTTCAGTTCCGCCCCCCCCGCCTCTCCGCCCTCTGATAGGATAAACCTGCTGTCTGTCAGGCTTCCTAAAAGCTGATTGGGCATCCCGCGCTGCTAGGCACGCCTACATCCGGGTCTCGCAGGCGCGGTAGCGACGGCGCGGCGCCGCCATTGTGGTGGGGGAGCGCGGGGGTCGCGGCTGCCGGTGAGGGCCAAGGGGGAGCGGCGGGCCCGGGGTGGGCCCAGGGCGGGCGGGAGCGACGGGGGAGCGACCGGCGGCGGCCTCGTCGTGATCCCGTAGCTCACCCTGAGCCCCTCTCCACGCTCTCCGCAGCAGCGTCGCCATGGCCGCCGTGTTCCCGTACCGCGGCGGCTGCGCCCCGGTGCCCAACCCGCTGGCGCCGCTGCCCGACTACATGTCCGAGGAGAAGCTGCAGGAGAAAGGTGGGTACGGCTCCGGCCCCCTCAGATCCTCCTCCGGGGGGAATAAGGCGTGACCCGGCGGCTCTGTGTCCCCGCAGCCCGCAAGTGGCAGCAGCTGCAGGCCAAGCGCTATGCGGAGAAGAGGAAATTCGGCTTCGTGGACGCGCAGAAGGAGGACATGCCCCCCGAGCACGTCCGCAAAATCATCCGCGACCACGGCGACATGACCAATAGGAAGTTCCGGCACGACAAGCGCGTCTACCTGGGGTAAGGGGTCCGCGGTGTGTGACAGGGGGAGCACGGGGGATGCGCCGCTGCTGCTTTGGTGGTTGTTAGGGGGGGAGATCCTTCTCCAAAAAGTCTCTTCGTGCCCGTTGTAGCTCTCTGAGGATGCCCTGAGGTGTCATTGCAGAGGACGATCAGGGAAAGGAGTTGTTGCTTTGAATTTATGAGAAGAAATATTAGCCTGGATAGTGTATCATTGAAGGGGAAGCCCTTTCTCCAAAGGGCTTGCAGTGTCAGTGTTGCTGTGAGGTGTTAGTGCAAAAGAGCATCAGCAAAGGGAATTCTTGCTTTGAATTTATGAGAAAAAAAACATTATCCTGAATAACACAGTGTTCTAGAAGAGGCTGGGGAGAGAGTGAAATGATTTTTGAAAGATTAAAAAGCATCCTGAGTGCTTCTTTGCTGTTTGGGTGTAGAGAGCTGTCTAGTGCACATCATGGCCTGCTGCAGTAACTTACCATTACCCATAAAAACTCCAGAAACTTACTTTAAAACTTCCATTTTTGTTAGCAACAATGCTGAAAGCCACATCACTATAAAACCTTTTGCTAGCCCAAAGGTAGAGTGGGAAATTCATAGATTTGGTTTTTGAACGGGTTAGATGTGCAGCTCTCATCTAAAGAGAGCTGGGAGAAAACTGGGAGCTTGTTTGGCTCATGGCAGCTGCTTGGCTGTCCCTGAGAGCCCCTCCAGCGTGGTTTTCCTTGCTTTGTGGCTGCAGTGCTCTGAAGTACATGCCCCATGCTGTGCTGAAGCTGCTGGAGAACATGCCCATGCCCTGGGAGCAGATCCGGGATGTGCCTGTCCTGTACCACATCACCGGCGCCATCTCCTTCGTCAATGAGATCCCCTGGGTCATCGAGCCTGTCTACATTGCCCAGTGGGGGTAGGTGCCTTCTCCTTCACCCAGCTGGGCCAAACCTTTCTGCATCCACCATAAACCCCCCCTGATTTGAACTTCCCCCTGGTTTCCTGCAGCTCCATGTGGATCATGATGAGGCGGGAGAAGAGGGACAGGCGTCACTTCAAGAGGATGAGATTCCCCCCGTTTGATGATGAGGAGCCCCCTCTGGATTATGCTGATAACATCCTGGATGTGGAGCCCCTGGAGGCCATTCAGCTGGAGCTGGATCCAGAGGAGGATGCCCCTGTGCTGGACTGGTTCTATGACCACCAGCCTCTGAAGGACAACAGGAAGTACGTGGCACTGGGAGAGGGGGAAAACAAACAGTGCATGAATTGGGGGTGCAGAGCAGTGTGTAAGCTTTGTGTGATGTTGGTGGGGAGAGAAAAACCTTCCCTCAAGGGTGGGAGGGAAAACCTGAGTGTTGGGAGGCTGCATTTTTTGCTTGCAGGTTGCTCAGAGGAGCTGTGGCTGCCCCATCCCTGGAAGTGATCAAAGCCAGGTTGGATGGGGCTCTGAGCAACCTGGGATAGTGGAAGGTGGAAGGCTTGGAACAAGATGAGCTTTAAGGTTCCTTCCAAACCAAACCATTCTGGGATTCTGTGGTTCAGCATCCAGCAAGGCCCCTCTGTCCAGGAGGCCTGCTACCCACTCACCTGCTAAAAATTATGTTTCTGGCTGTGGTGTTTGTGATGAGGATGAGGTGAGAGATGGGAATTTGACTCTATGTTCTCAGAAGGCTAATAATATAATATAATACAATACAATACAAATAATATAATATAATATAATTATATTAATGATATTATATTATTTTTTATTATTTTATTATTTTATTATTTTAGATTATATTAGATTATATTATGCTATATTGAAACTATACTAACAAAAGAGAAAGGATACATCAGAAGACTAGACAAGAATGAATATTAAAAACTCATGACTGACTCAGAGAGTCCAACACAGCAGGCTGTGATTGATCATTAAGTTAAAACAATTCAATGGAACCAATCAAACATGCACCTGTTGGTAAGACAATGTCCAGACCATATTACAAAGCAGCAAACACAGGAACAGCAATGAGATAATTTTTGTTTTCATTCCTCTCTGAGGCTTCTCAGCTTCCCAGGAGAAAATCCTGGGCAAAGAGGATTTTTCAGAAAATACCATGGTGACACTGACCATGCTGTACAGCTGACAGCCTGCATTGTCTAGCTGGAATTTGAAATTTGCTCAGGGTGCAGAGATGTTCTGTGTGAGTTGGGACACAGAGGAGGGGAGGAACTGGAGCAGCATTTTCTGGGCAGGAGGAGTCCAGAGTGCTCTTTAACAGTGCTGCAGCCTTTTATCAGTCTAGAGACACCCGTGTGTCACCTGTCCTTGGTGAGTGATGGGTGGCAGGAGGTGTTTGGTGACTCTGTGCCTGTGCTGGAGTGTCCCTGCTCTGCTCCCCCAGGTATGTGAACGGCTCCACGTACCAGCGCTGGCAGTTCACCCTGCCCATGATGTCCACCCTGTACCGCCTGGCCAACCAGCTGCTCACTGACCTGGTGGATGACAACTACTTCTACCTGTTTGACCTGAAAGCATTCTTCACCTCCAAGGCACTGAACATGGCCATTCCTGGAGGTCCCAAGTTTGAGCCCCTCGTCAGGGACATCAATCTTCAGTAAGTGTTGGGTTTAGGGGAGTGATGAACGGTTATCTGGGAAATGGGGATGTTTTCAGTCACAAATGTTTGTCTCTCTCACCCTGAATGCCTCCATAACAGTTTCTTGTCTCATTTTAAGGGATGAAGACTGGAATGAATTTAAT